TTTCGTTATTTCAGTCTCGAGATACAAATATTGTAAGCCGTAAATTACCTTAAAAACATAAAATTAACTTGAAGCACCTCAAAATCATCACCGATTTTGCTGAAAATTTACACAGAAGTACAAATTAACATGACGAACAGTAATCACGGTTGACCCGTTACATTCCGAACATTTCGTTTAAAATGAACAGGTCTAATAAACATGCTATCAATTGGCTTTTAAGCGACTTCTCTCTGTTTTAAGTTGGAACGATTTTTCGGCGTTGTGAGTGTGAGTGCGTGAATATGCATGAGAATCTCATGCATGAGTTTTGCTTGCCACATTTGCATGCAAGTTTATTCCCTCAGAGAGGCTCAACGAATAAGATTTGAGAATGATTTTCCGAACACTGCTCATACCATAGCCACGAGTTCAAATCTCATTCCCGGACGAGTCACGAATGACCGAAGTATCTAAAATAATAATAAAAAAATAAATATGGTTAGTTAATAACAGAGAGCAGTGCCGTCATCAAATCCTGAAATCCCTTTCACAGACTACAAAATAGAGTACCTGACAATGCAAAACTACTTTATTTTATTATGCACAATCGTGCCGAGATTTCTTGGCGACTATACAATACATGTTAAAGCTATAGTCAAGAGATACAATAGAAAAAAAAACATTGTATCGTCAGCTATCCAAAGAGCTTCTTCTATTGGAACAGGATTCACTTCCAGTGGTTTGCAGGAATGGCAATATCGCCGAAGGGATTGCAGAAAGAAACGCAACTAGTTGTCGTCACTCACACACTCATCACGAAACGGTTACTTTCCAAGGTCGACGACCCATCGACCGAAAGAACTGCTGATGAAAAACAACGAGCACCACCCTAATAAAAAGGTTAATTTGCTTAAAGACGTGTTCGGGGTATCGTCCAAACCATTTGTGGAATAGTTCAATAATTTGGGTTATCGTTCGTTTATGGTAAATTTTTATTAGGACACAAAATGGTTGCTGCCGAGAATACAGGCGATCGCGTGAGGTAGGTCTGCTTCTCTCGACAGCTAAGAAGAGGATACTCGTAAAAGAAGCTTAGGGACTTAGGACGCATGTTTTGTGTTGAGTATGCCTGACTCTTATGTGGGTGACAGGTTACCACGCTTTTTACGAAGCTCAGATAATAAGGTAGAACCAAACCATGTTCTGCAAAGTTGTAGGTTTCGATAAGAACTGAAAGATGGCGTACATGAATTCCAGAATGGACCACCCAAAGTCACTGGAACAGGTTCCAGAAACCTCGGAGGAAGTGACCAATCTTTGATTTCAACAGAACCAGACGCGCAGTTCAATTTTTTTCAGAAATTGATAAACATACCATTAGACACCCTGGAACAGATTCTGGAAGCCCCGGTAGAAGTGGCCGATCTCTGATTTCTACAAATCCAGACGTGCGGCACATTAAAATTTTCAGAAATTCATGGACAATTCATTATAGACCATGCCAATTGAGAAAAATGACAATGGCCACCCAATGTCCTTGGAACAGGTTCTAGAGGCCCCTGAGGTCATTCTCGAGTTTCAGCAGAAACTAGTTATGCGGTATACTAAAATTTTCAGAACTTTATGGTCATGTCATTATAGACCATGCCAATGAACAAGAGTGACAATGATCCAATGTCTCTGGAACATGTTCCGGAAGCCCTGAAGCATGTGACCAACCTCTAATTACAATTAAAACTAGTCACGCGGCATATCAAAATTTTCAGTATTATATGGACATGTCATCAGAGACCATGTCAATTGACAAGAGTGACAATGACCACCCAATGTCCCTAGAACAGGTTCCTGTGATGAACCTTTAGCTTTAACAAAAACTAGTCATACGGCATATCAATATTTTCAGAATTTTATGGACATGCCATCAGAGACCTAGCCAATTGAAAAGAGAGACAATGAGAGCCCAATGTCCATGGAACAGGTTCACAATGGCCCGGAGGATGTGGCCAATCTATAATTTCAACAAAACCAGGCGTGCGGAGAAAAAAAAATCCTAAAATTTGAATAATTTTCACTTAATTTTGAGTAGAGCCTCTTAGTCGCACTCTTTGCTGATGTCAAAAAAGGAACGAGAGATTTAACCCAACTTCAGCCCAATAAGCTATTTTTGAATATTTTTTCCCAGTTTTTGTGGTCAATAATTCAAAAAAAATTTCGGTTTTGAAAATCATGTCTTTAGAAATAGGGGAAATCGATGTAATGTCGGCCTAAATGCCCCTAATTTGGGCCCATCGATTCAGCAATCGACTAGTGACCAAAAATATCCATTAGTAACGTCCCAATGACGCGTTCATCTAGATAAAATTGATAAATAGCAGATTTTTAGCGATGGGCCTAATCTTAGATCCATAGGCTAACATTAGAGCCATTTCACCTAATTGATTTTTTTTAAATAATAAATTTTATGGAGATTCCTTGTACCACCATTTTTGGCATTACTCATCAAAATTGCACAAGCCAAAGTAAATATTAAGGTTTGAATGCTCGTTGCTCTGAAGCTGCAAGTAATTTCTGAAATAAACAGTTTTATTAACCTCTTAAATCTTGAGGATTGTTTTTTAGACATTGGGAAGTGTGATATGCTTAAGCCTTCTTACAACCAAAAGGATCTTATATAAGCACAATTATGATCTCAAAAGATTTTAAAGTCTGTCAATTTTTCAGCCAACTTGGAACCTTAAACTGTAATAGCTATATAACGGCCTAAAATATTTTAAATATTTTTTTAAAGCTCAGAAATTTTTTTAACTTTTCAAACATTATTAAACTGTTAACAGTAATTGTAGAACATATTTCTTTGGGAAAAAAAATAGAATTTAAGTTTCTTTGTCGAAACTTTTGAAATTTTCCGTAAAAATCGAATTTTAATGGGTTATTTGAAACTTGAGGAAATCATGCTTGTAAATTCGGGATACAATTGTGGAGCTGAGTTTGGTAACTTTCCCGGGGCTTCCGGAATCTGTTCCGGCCTTTGTCACTTTTGTCAGTTGACATGGTCTCTAATGACATGTTCATGACAATATGGAAATTTCAAAAAGTCGCATGATGCAATCAGTTTATGTCGCAATCAGAAATTAGCAACTTCTCCGGGGGCTTCTGGAATCTGTTCCGGGGTCATCACGATGTCATTGTATTCTGCTTAGTTATTATGGTCTTTAATGAATTGTCTATGAAATTATGAAAATTTTGATACGTCGCACGACTGTTTTCTTTTGCAATAAGAGACTGGTCTCTTCCCCGGGGCTTCCAAAATCTGTTCCAGAGTCATCGGATGGTTTTTGTGACTGTTGTCAGATGGCATGGTCAATTATGCCATGTCCATAAAATTATGAAATTTTGAATATGCTGCATGACTAGTTTATGTTAAAATCAGAGATTGACCTCTCCCTTGGGGGTTCCGAAATCTGTTGCAGGGCCATAGGGTAGCCTTTGTCATTCTTGTTAGTTGACATGGTATCTCCATGACATGTCTGAAATTTTGAAATGTTGCATTATTAGTTTATATTGCAATCAGAAATTGGCCACTTCTCCGGGGGATTCTGGAACCTGTTCCGAGGTCATTACATAGTAATTGTCAATCTGCTTAGTTGGTATGGTCTCTAAAGCATAGTCTATGAAATTCTGAAAATTTTGATATGTCGTACGACTGTTTCCTGTTACAGTAAGAGACTGGTCACTTCCCCGGGGCTTCCAGAACCTGTTCCAGGGTCATCGTGTAGCGTTTTTCACTTTTGTCATTTGACATGGCTCTAATGACATGTCCATGAAATTCTGAATATTAGGATATGCCGCATGACTAGTTTTTGCTAAAATTATTGATTGAACACTTTCCCGGGGCTTCCTTAATCTGTTCCAGGGCCATTGGATGGCCTTTGTCAATCTTGTTAGTTCACATCGTCTCTAATGACATGTCTTTGAAATTCTTTTTTCCCTTGATTTTTGGTTTTCGTCGATCTTAAGTGCTGAGCACCAATGCTACCGACGCCAGAGAGGCAGCTCCCACACCTGGACCCTACCTATCGACCCATCAACTCATGAACCGGGGACTAACGGCTTTACTTCCCTTCCGAAGGTGGGCGTGATCAGAGATGTTATGCCTCAGAACATTCCGTCGGCGCCGACTGGGATTGAACCCAGGCCTGCTCGGATGAGAAGTAATCACGCTTACCACCGGCGTCGCTTCCATGAAATTCTGAAATTTTACATGATTATTTCTTGTTAAAATCAGAGTTTGACCACTCCCCGGGGCTTCCGGAACCTGTTCTGGGGATAATGAACTGTCCATTCTTAAATTTATGTAAACCATATTTTAGTTCTTATTTAAACCTACAAGTTTGCAGAATATTGTTTGATTCTATCTTATGGTCTGAGCTTCGCAATAAGATTGGGTACCCCGTCCCGTCACCCTTTTACTGGTGGAAAAATCGTCATGTACATAAGAGTTAAAGGAGGGGTGTGAATCTAAATGCATAAATAAGGATACCGACAACTTTTTCAGTTCCAGGTACTTTATTTGGAAGTCTGTGAAAAGGAAATCAAACTTCGCGTGTCATCAAAATACGTGGCATGTTGAGAGATTGAGCTCGGGAGAGAGTGAGAGAGAGAGAGAGAATTGTTTGACGGACAAAGTAGCTTACTCTCTTGTGTGGGACTTAATTGTTTTATTGATTTTACAGTAACTTAACATCTACGTTTTAAATTAAAAGCTTTCCAGAAGATAGATATTTATTCTCTTTATGAACTACGCCACGTGAATTATTGATTACTGCTTGCATTTATTTTAAATAATTGGTTTTCTCTCTTCTCCCATACTGAATTTCAACGATGCCTACGAAACAGATCTCTGGGAAAATTCAGTATGGGAACCAGCTGAGACACATTGAACTGGCAAACCCGACTGTATGACTTTGGCAGATCCAATATTCCGTGACCAGCGATCACTCTCAACCATACGCTCTTACCTGCAGAAATGCCTGTGGCCGATAGGCTCCCCCGTGGCTGCCGTAGCCCATGTTTGCGAGCATTTCCGGCGAAAATCGGTTGAATAGGCCACCCCAAGCGTTCGCAGTGCCGCTGAAGATTAGTATCGCTCCGATGGCCGCCCACAGCGCCGTTGCCTTCATGTTGCTGATTATTAGGGGTTGGTGCTTATTCCCACTAGGATTAAATCTGCAAAAGATGGGAGAGTAAAATTGCACGAGGTGAGAAAATATATGTATATAGGGCTTTTAAATTGAAGAAAAAATGAGGGTGTCCAATCGATGGCTCCGGAACGGAAAACGATAAATGCGCTACCTACACAGATCTGTATATCATCAGTTGAAAATGATGATCTTCGAGGCTTCGCTGAAGCCTTATTATTAAAGAGGGGGTAAATCCGTTTCCAGCTCATCGTGCCCCGCCCGGTCCAATCATGGATGGGAAGCAGAAAACGAGGCGAGTTAGATAGTAGGATTATTCTTATTTATTGCATTTTGATAGCGATTCGCCTTTAGAAGGCTTTCGTTAACGAGCAAAGGTTCACGCAGACGGGTTGATTCTAGGGTGAAATGGTTAGCATAATATCTTATCTATGTTGGGGAGGATGATGTGAACAAGTAAGACATTATGTTTCACCGAATTTTAATTTGAAAATTTATGGTAATGATTTATGATTTGGGTAAAATTTATTGTCATTAATCTTCTTGCCCAGCTAATGAATCTTTAATTTTGCTCCCATACCAGGCAGTTACTGACTGTAATTTCTCCTAGGCGGAGCTACAGTATTGCTGGGACGAGCGCAAACCTTTTAGGGCTGATGTAGGATTCATGGCTACCCTAGTAGTATGCTTGTCGCAAATTGGTTGCTTCCCAGCCAACAATGTTGTTCACATTACTGAATTGTTACTCTGCTTTGTGAATTTTTATTCGAAAAAAATAAATCGTATAAAGTGCATAGAATTCAACTATACGTACAAATCTGGAGGCCATATACGTGCATGTGGAAAAATACTCCTACATTGTATGATTTCATATGATTCAATAGGGTACTTTATACAACTCCATGCATAACTAAAGTTGCTTCTAATATGATTTTGTATATACCAATATCTTATATAAAATGTTATTTGTACGACTTTCAAATTACATCTCTAAAATTATGGCAGACCAAAAAGCAAAAAGCATGAAAAAAATACATTTTAAATGAAGCTTCAATTTTCTATAGTTGGTGGTACTTGGTGATATTGGTTTGAATATAAGTTGGAAATTGAAATATAATGAGCTATCTTTTGAAAAGATGAACATATTTAAAGCTTAAAGTCAATATTACCTGCAATAACTAGTTTAGAACCAAAGATCTTTAGCTCCGTAGTCCTGCTGCGATCCTCGCTGGCATATGAGCACGTATATTCGGAGCAATAAATTTCAAATTATGATGCCTCGCTTGTATACGTGATTAAATCTAATTCGATCTGGTGTATTATATGATATCATTCCTTATCTAGCTAAAACTGCTGAGAGCAGTGCATATTGCATTATACAATCTTGTTCTGCATGATATATGGCTTATTATCTTATATAATTTTAACTGTACATTAATGTGATTCGTAATGAATTATTTCAATGTGCAACAAACCATTCCAGAGAACAAGCAATGAGTACAAATTTGGGTTGGGTTGGTTGGTGTGAAGTGCTCGTAATATCTGGAAAGTAGGTGATATTTGAGCAGAACTACACCTACATAGTTGTGAGAAATTATGTATTCCAAACCAATTTAAAGAGATATGTTGTGCAATGAGCGCATACGATGATGAATTTCACTTGGAAACCTCAATATTGACAATGAGCTTTGCTGAAATGTCTTTCTTTTCTTTGAAACTTCATTTAACTTTTTTAGTCATCGAACCAGTAAGTAATAATTGAGTAATTTCCGCATTACTCCTAGTTCCAGTAAATGTAATGCGTCGGCAACAATTACGTCTTTCATCAAGTTAATCGTTAATTTTATTAACGGTGATAAACCGCGTTGATAATCACCGCATCTTCTTTAGGAAACACCATGGCTCTCGTATCTCGAGAATATTTCCCTTTGGTAGTGCATTTAATCCATGTTTCCCGTTTAAGTTTTCAACGCTTTTCATAAATGCTCGAATTTTCAATGAAATCCAGTGGTTATTTATGAGTACTCCAGATTCAAAAAGTAGCAGTAGCTCTTGTATCATCTGTGACAAAAATTCATCAACATCCACGGGTTTACTAGCTCCACAGTAAATTCCGATAGTCATTGGCTGAATGTGAGGAAGCTCATGAATATTGGCAACAATTGGCTGTTACTTTTTGTTTGTTATGGCTCAATATTTTGTTTTGACAATATGACTGAAACTGATCTTATGTAAACGTATATAAGATCGTCAACATTTTTAAAATAGATCGCGTTAAATAACTCCTTATCGACATCAAACGAACTTATATATAATCTTGCAAAGAGGATTATAATTGAATCATAATTTTCATCTTAAACAATTTCAACCAATTTGGAATTGCATCTTATGCAACTTCAACTTGTTTTGGATATTTATATTATTTTAAACGAACATCCTTATACGATTTGTGGTTTGCTGGGTAAGGCTTCCATCCGACTTATTTCAGTCACAAACAGGTTGTTGTTCCCATTATGGCATGTGGGAATTCCCTGTACAGTACCAGTTCGATTTTGGCAACACTCGGTTTTTTACTTCTTTTGCAAGCAACCCCCAAGTTCTATAACAGTTTATATATCCTTTGTATGACTAGTTGGTTGTAAAGAAGTTTACTCTACATAATGCCATGAATGTTTGTAACAAGCCTGATTAAATATCTGGGCACGATCATAGCTTTACAATTACTGCTAATTTAAATAAAACATATGCTATGATTTTAAACTGCAAAACACAAGCAAATTAAAAACATTGAGGTCGTGTTGCCAAAATCGAAAGAATACTGTATTTTATTTATTATTTAATGACTCCCTAAAGCTTTTTTTCCTCCAGGTCAAATACAGAAATAAAAATTGATTTTTGACTCGTCTTTCACCGATTTGCATGAAACTTTTCATAATTGTTTGTAATGGGTAATTATTCACATTTTTGCTAAGATTGGCCCTTGTGGATCTTGTTTTTTTTTCTTTAAAATGGCTTCTTTGACATTTTTCAATCAATTAATCATATCGTCCAGCCATTTTCCACAGAGATGGCGCTGTTCCGCAGTGATAAAAATCCCCATATAGAAATCGAGAGAAGTGGGAATAATTCGCTTTCAGTGCATATTTAGGTCAAAAAAGTGAACGACAACGTAAATAAATTAGTCAGAAACTTTGTCGTTCATCTTATTGTTAAACAAGCTACAATTTAATAAAAATGATTTTTCACCATACAGTTTTATCTGCTTTACTACCAGTCCTCAGAGAGCCAAAAAAAAAATCAAATTTGTGAAAGAAAATTTGCTCTCACGACCTCAATCTCTCAATATGCCATGTATTTTGATGACACTCGATTTCTGATTTTCCTTTCACAGATTACAAAATAGAGTACCTGACACTGCAAAACATGTCTGGTACTTCTATATATGCATTTAGATTAACATTCAAAGTCCCTCGGTTTTTTACATATTCTGTACAAAAGATACTTTTTGCCCCGTCCCATTCATAAAAATCGTCGGGAAATTCTGTGAGGGGTGAGCTATTTTGTGTGCAGAATGTGTAAAAAAAGGAGGGACTTCGAATGATAATCTAAATGCATCTAGAGGTACCGTAAAACGGGGTATCTTTGATAATGCGGGTAACTTTGATAGTATAATATAAGGATTAAATTTACTCGCTGCGCTTTTTCCAAATTAGAAACATTGGCTGCATATTGTAGCTGCGGATATTTCCGTTGATATTGTATATTGTTTTTATATATTATGTGTTACATATTTTACAAACATATTAAAAAACTATTTTCGTGTTTTTCGCCTATTTGAAAAAGCACTCAAACCATCATTTATGCAGGGCTGTTGCGGATTTCGCGATTTTCGCGGATTTGTCGTGGATTTGTATTTTCAGTCGCGAAAATCGCGGAAACATTAAATGATGTCGCGTAAATCGCGAAGGGACTGATGTGCTGTCACAAAAATTGTCCCGGATTATTTTGCTGTCATCAATTTTGTTGTTCATTTGGCTCTCAATTTTTTACCGGTTCAAACCAAACACCCTGCAAATAATCGAGAAATGATCTCAATTCCATAAGTCACATCGGATTGACACGGAAATTCCCTGAGGTCTGTCCAATGTGAGACATTTTCCTTTTTTTCCAATATGAACATAGCATTTTTCATTGTCAAATCATAAACGAATCGTATATATGCGAGTAATTGCCATGTATACCGAATATTCTAGGTTCTCCAAATCGTCCTGGAGTTCAGTTGGTTTGTTCTACTATATCAACCAGCACTGCAATAATGTCTGTAGTATCGAAATATGACCAAACAGATTCAAATCGTCTATGTTGATCGTGCCCGACCTATTGCTACGTATACAAGATGTTATAGGTTTTGAAATCATTCTGGACATCAGATTATTTTTCTACTAGATCACCCAAGACTAGTTCAATATCTGTAGTATCGAAATATGCCCAAACAAATTTGCAGTGTCTATGTGGATCATGCCAACCTATTTCCGTGTATGCCAAATGTTCTAGGATTTCCAAATCGATAATTCGATACTACAGATATTATCCTAGTCTTTGTTGATCTAGTTAAACAAATCATCTGAACTGCAGGACGATTTGGAGAACCTAGATCATCTGGTATACGTGGAAATAATTAAACATTATCGATATAGACACTATGAATCTGTTTGGATATATTTCGATACTACAGACTTTATCCCAGTCATGGTTGATCTAGTAGAATAAATCATCTGAACTTCAGAACGATTTGGAGAACTTAAAACATCTGGTATACATGACAATAGGTCATGCATGATCTACATATACACTGTGCATCTGTCTGGAAGTATTTCGATAGTAAAGACATTGTCCATATCTCGGTTGATCTAGTAGATCAAATTATCTGAACTCCAGGACGATTTGAAGAACCTTGAACATCTGGATTACTCGGAAATAGATAATGCATGATCCCATAGACACTTTGAATCTGATTGGACATTTTTC